AGGATAGATATTATCCCTATCTTACAGGTGATATGAAAAAGGACAGGAAAGTTAAATAACTTGCTTAATGTCACACAGCCCATAAGTGTGAAAGCTGGGATTAGAATCAAGATCTGTTTGATTCCAAAGCCTCTGGGATTCTCACATAATATGGTCCTCGTCATAAATATACCATGTCTCAATCCAAGCCAGAGCAGCAGCCAAAAATATGCCCCCAAATTCCAAGAGCCTGAAGCAGAAGCTGTTTGAAGGGCTCCTGTAGGACAAATAAGCCACTGAGCTGGAGGCAGCACCTGAGTTGGCTGGTTTGGAAGTGTGGGGTAACATCTGACCATACTCTCTGTTGGCCTTATGCTGCCTAAGCACAGAGAGGATCCCCAAGACGTGCCGAGAGTAAATTCATGCAATGAGCCCTGATAGAAGGGCTGAGTTCCTAAAGAAATAAAACTCTGACCAAAAAGAAATGCAAGATCATCTCAGATCCTTGCAGTTGCCTTTCTTGACAACTCCAGTGGCCTTCCTTCTCCAAATATTCTGGCATCCTCTACCCAAGCTTCCAAAGATTACTCTTGGCCCATCCACAGATAACCCCCCTCATTCTCTTCCATTCACATCCTTGAGCAGCTGTGGAGGGAGGCCAGCTGCCGAGCTGACCTGGACAAAGTTCTCTCCAGCAACACGGACTTCTTGGTGACCCATTCACTTGTGCCCATAGAATGCCCTGGGCAGCCACTCTCTTTTCCCTCCCTCCTCTCTGTTTACTCTATTGCCTTTAAGCACTTTGAGTTTTAAGTGGCTGGACATCTGCCCCCTTTCTCTGCTTCCCCTCACATCATGCCTCCTACAAATATCAGCTGGGTGAACTTCCTGAAAGCCAGAACATTCCTCGTGTTCCTGGATGCTCACCAGCCTGCCTTTTGCCCACTGAACTCCACAAGACCCATAATTAACAAGGTCCCTGAGAACTTTGGGGCCAGCAAACAAGAAGGCATTTCTCCACACTCTCTTTGTTAGCTTGGTGTTTGTAGCACGCAGCTTCACAGTGTCGTGATTAAGGAAGTATCAACAGGGAGGAAGAAGACAAGATGGAGAGGCCAACAGTAGTCTTTCCCAACATTGCCTCCCAGGACCACCTCTTAAACTTCACCATAACCTTCATTCCCTTCCTCAAAAGAGCCCCTCTGATTTTCTTCTCTGTCCTTTATGCCTTTCCCTTTATATGAAAGCCTGGACAAAGCTATCCATGACCAGAGATCCACCCCATCCATAGATCATCCACTATATCTATATTTTGTAGTGGACCTATGTATTTGCCCCCTCTGGCCCTTACTTACACTATGGTTGTTAATATACAGCCAAGACATATAATCATCTACAAGCCTGCCCATGCCAACCTTTTATTCACACTGGAAATGTTTTCTCTGAGGATGTCCATGAATGCCAGAGGAGCAGGAAGCAGAAACAACATGAAATAGCTTGTAGGAGGAACTGGTCAGTAATGGTCTCTGATTCCTGACCATAGACCAATAGAATGTGGTCACTGTCCAACCTTCATAATCATACTTTGGTTTGGCTATGAGTCTTGGACCTGCTGGGATGACCACAACTAGATCCTAGAGCAGTTTAGTTTGACTATCTTAGAAGTCAACCAAACACTAAACAGTCAAGTAGGAGTACTGGCCCCTAGGGCTTGGAAAATTGCCAGTGACCCAATACTACAGTGATGCTCTTTCCTTGGGAACTGCCTGAAAGGGCTGAGTGAATTCCTTGAGAGCAAGGACTGCATTTATCTTTGTCTTCCCAAGGATGTGGTGCATGTCACAGAGAAGGTACCCACCACTGACATAGACTTTCCTTCCTGGGATCAGAATTTCACAAACAGATATAAGTCACAACAGGATTCTCAAACAACTGTCTGAACTAAACTAAAATGGAAAAATAGCAAATAGAATTTGGATGAAGCAAAGAAGGAAAAGTGGGTAGAGGAGGTAAAAAGAAGAGGAGAAATTATGTATACATAGTCCATTCTTGTTATTTGTGGTAGTTATGTTTTATAAAGTCACCGTGAACACTGAGTTAGTGAATTCTGAACCATTGTTCCTAGGGAAAATACAGAGCTAGGTTCCTGTGAGCCTCTGGTTGACATTTTCATCAACTGATCAATACATAACCTTATTTCATGTGTGTTTTCTTTTTAAAGATACCTTATTTAATATATATAGTTGACTCATTAGCATTGAATTCATGGCCAACAGCACTGTAGCTCACGTCTGAACAAAGCTTATCTGACACACGGATTACCTCCACAGGGCACATCACAGCTTTCTTGCATTTAGGAGCACTTGACTGCACTTCAGCACTATGTGTGGGACCATCTTAAAAAGTGAAATCATCATCAAAAAGCATACAAATGCGAAAAACGTGGCAATAAGTAGACTGCAAAAAGGACACATTTATAGCAGGAGAGCTGAAACGGAAGGCAGAACATCACCTTGTTTGACATCAACTGGGAACGTGAGCATTGGGAGACTCGAATTTTTCACCACTCTGCACATGTCCACAAATGACCACAAGAGTGCTGCAACTATTGATTTGGGGATTACAAGTAAATCTTAGCAGGTGGGTAAATTTGCAAATATGGAATCCATGAATAATGAGGATTGACTGTGTGTGAGTGTGTTTGTGTGTGTGTGTGTGTGTATCAAACAAAATTCAAGCCAAACAACAACAGGGATGTTGGCTCTTCAGAAAGTGCAGCCTGGCTCAGTCATCAAGACAGGGACAGTAAAGACATAAGGCAGACTGAGGACAGGGTAACAAGACAAAAGCAGCTGTGCCCCAATGGTAGGCCTTACAGGCAGGGGTTGTGGCCACCAGCCAGCAACAGCACAAGGAAACCTGGTGTGAGAGATGGCAAATGTGCCATTCCTGTCCCTTTTGCCATCTCCCACACCAGGCCCTGAGCATGGGGGAACCTCTTCTCCCTCTACCCAGATACCTAACACGTCCTTCGCACGGATTCAGAGCCTAGTGGTGTGTCTGAGGGCAGCAAGCACAGGTGCATAGGGGTGCATAGTGAGGAACTGACCTCCAATATGTCCTAATCCAACAAGCAGCCTCCTAAGGGTCCCATCTCCCAGAGCTGCATCCCAGGGGTTGACGCCTAGGAAGAGAGGAGATTTGGGGTGGGGGTCCATGAACTAACCAAACCAGCCCCAAGAGCTCGTGGAGACCTCTGGGTTGCAGATTGGTGAGATGTGACCTTTGGTGAGAGTCTCCATATTGTCAGCTCCTAGCCCAATGCCTGGATCATAGACACACTCTAAAATCAGGAGAGGGAGTGTGTGAAAGAAAAAATAAAAGGAGGGTAAATGGCCAGAGAGACTTCTGCTTATTTTATTAGGGCAGGGTTCCACCAAGGACTTGAGTATTGACCCATCAGGCTCAAAAAATAGATACTTATATTGTGCTTTATGTTTTTAAAGCTCTTTTATGTATGTCATCTTGTTAATCCTCACATTAATGCTATACACAAGAGAGGTCAGATATTAATACACCTATATAGTTAGTTGAGGTAACTGAAATAGAGAAGTCAAGAGATTTGCGCAAGGACATACAATTAATTAATGACACAGCCGGCACTACAGGCCACACCTTTCTGATCAGTTTGATGAGAGGAAGCGGCCCTGATGTGTGCACCCGGCTCCCTCTCCATGATCACTCAGAAGGCAGCTCCCCACTCCCAGACCCTGGCAGGAAAGGGTCCAGGTGGCACCTGGGACACACAGCCCAGGCTCTGGAAAGCCCACCCTGCAGGAAGTGCAGGCTTTAGGCCAGAGGAACAAGAGACGTGGCAACAGGACCTGGAGCCAGCGATGCTGCTGGTCTGGTTCCCCGAGCTGGGGAGCAGCCTGCCGGGAAGGTAAGCAGGCAACTCGGGCCTGGCCAAACAGGCTGTTATGACCCACAGACACCCTGCGGCTCAAGGCAATGAGTCAGGAGCATGCCCTTATAAAGCCTGGGAGTCCCTGAGCTGGGGGGGAGTCCCGAGGCCTCTGATTTGTTCGGCCCCCAAAGCTGGTGAGCCCTTCAGTTCACAGAACCAGGCCAACCTCTGCGTCCTTGTTCTGGACTTGATTCACTCTCTCCTGTCTTTGATAGCTAATGCCCTGTCCTTCTCTTTACTCACCTCCAATCAAGACTATTATACAGAAGCTCTTTTTCGGCTGCCTTCTTCCAGACCTCTCTCTCTCTCTTTCTCTCTCTCCAATATAAGCCAAATGTTAATTTCTCATGGTTCCCATCCATCCTGCAATTCATCAATTTCCCATCCCCCCTCCCTGGCTCTGGATGGGAACATCCTTCATTTGGCCCTTCCAGTTCTTTCCCATACTCTTGCACTTATAATGCTGGGCTCTCAGGAGAAGAGGCAGCTGGTAGAGAAACTGGCCCTGATCAACCAGGAAGGTGGCACATTACTGACATTCCTGGGCATTCTGAGGCTGGCTTTCTGACCTGGGTGAAGACATGCGCACAGGTCAAGGACGGATGTACAACCAGGGATGCAGTTTTCCTCATTCCAAGGAACGGTTTGATTTGGATGGGCGGGCAGGCTCTGAGGCCAAACTCTTGGGATTCTCCAAGGACATGCCTGTCTCTTGGATTAAGAAGCTGTGATCATCAACTGGTTAGGAGGTTCACTCCGGAAGGGCAGACACATGGGTTAGCGCAGGGGTACCATGGGTCAATGGGTAATGGAAAGATGGGGACCTACATAGCAAAATCAGAAAAGCAATTCCTGAGACGGTCAGAGGACACAGCTGGAGCTGAGGGGAGGGGAGAAAGAAGATACGCCTCCCCAAGACCCTGTGGCTCCCAGTGGCTGTGACAGCTGGCATATTCCATGGGCACAGTGAGGAAAGAGACACGGAAAATGCAGGGCTTCTCTTCATGGGAAGCCTTGCTTCCTCTCCTTTCCTTCGCCCTTGGGGAGGACTCACCTGAAGAAGCCTTTGCAGCCTTCACAGGTCATAGCGTTGAAATGAAAGCCCGTGGCTCGGTCTCCGCATACCCCGCAGATCCGGGGCACATTCCGGTCAAAGTCACCAGGGTCAGGCAGGGAAGTGCTGGCTGCCATTGCCTCCATCCCTGCAGGAACAGCAGGTAGACCGTGGCCAGAGCTGGAGTCAGTGCCAGGGCCAGCTGGCATCCTTTGCACACCTCCACCCCCATCTGCCGGGAGCTCAGTAAAGCTGTGCAGCTCCCCAGGGCCCAGGCCTGAGCGGGATTTCTTTGGCACCCTCACTTCATGGCTCTCCCTACCCCAGCTCACCTTCCTGACACTCCGCTGGCCATGAGCAGCAGCAGGGCTCCCTCACCCACGGCTGGAGTGACTCCGTGGGGGGCCCTGTGGTGAAGCCGCTCATAGCCTGGCCTGGAATCAAACCACCTGGGTTCAAAGGCTGCATCTGCCGCTGACTAGGTGGCTACTTTGGGTGAGGTGTTCCACCTCTCTGTACCCCACCAAAGAATAAACGGCGGTTTACTTTCTTGGATGTGAGGAAGGATTACATGAATGAACGTATGCACACCACTCAGTAGCAGACCTGCAGCAGCTCAGACGCCTACATCTTGCCCAGCAACACCCCCCAAGAGAAAAGCGGGAGCCCTCCAACAGCCTCACATGCAGAGTGAAACTCTCAGCCCTTCTTTTCTTGAGGGCGAGGGGAACAGAATAGATCACAGGCCCAAATCAGACCTGTCATTCCAGTTCCAGCTCATCGCAGCCACACGGCTCCGGACTGACAGGCCTGGGGCCCTGCTGTCCTGGTACCAAGGTAATCAAAATCGTATCCCTCTTTTTTTCCAATACAAATTTAACAGATTGTTCTGAACATCCTTCTGAGTAATATGAGTCACACGCGATTAACTAATTTTGTTTTCAGAGATGGTTTTTATCAATGGCATAATCATCTAGAGATGGATTTCACGCTTGAGGAAAGGAGAGACGAGAGAGAGAGAACAAAATGTAACAGCTTCGGGAAATCCTTCCCAGGAAGCAGCTGGCCCTCAGCTTCGCCTGCCACCTCTGATCTTGACCGCTGTCAGGCTCAGAGCTGCTTCTGGGGTACCTCAGACCTCCCCTCAAATAGTGTCAGACGCCACTGCCTCCCAGTTTTATGAGTCCTCACAAGGGTCATTACAGGTTTAAGTGGCCCCTTGGCCCCAGGACAGGAGGGTCCCTCAAGTCAGAAGAAAAATAAGAGAGAAAGCTTTCCCTGACATAAGAGAGGTAGATTTTGGGGGGCCCTTCGGAGGCTCTGAGCTTCTTTTCAGTGACTAGGCCCACGACCTCTGAGCCAAGGTTTGGCATCTCAAAGCCCGGTAGAGTCTCATTTCAGTTCATCTTCATATCACCCCAATGAGGCGAGTCCTATTATCATCAATCTCTTTACAAATGAGGCCAGAGTAGCCCAAACCCTGAGGTACCTCTAGCAACTACAATTACGAAATGCACAAAACAAATACTTAATTAAAAAAAAAAAATTCCACAAAGAGCTTCACGCCAAAGGAAGGAAGTGGGACAGATAAGGATAGATACCGTCAATCCCAAAGGGGTAGAGGGGACCCTGATCACAGACAGACTTTCTCTCTCAGCTTTTCTTTTCCTGAGAACTTAAATGTAATAATAGCTACATTGTGGCCCATCCCAATCACAGCTAGACTGATCCTTGTTGAACTATGATGTTTATACATATACATATGCACAGAGACAGAAACACTTAAAAAAAAAGAACAAAGGAATGATTAACAGAAACCTTTCAGGGAGTGAGAACGGGAGGAGCATGCAGAGGCATTATGTAGTAGCCATATTCTGTTTCTTTGAGTGGCAGGTATATGGTATCTTATTATTATTAAAACACCATTTTATGTTTTATATGCCTGTCCTATAATTTTAAAACAACTAAAAAGAAAAGAAAAAGTGCCTGTGGGTTTGTCAGCCTTGTCCCTATGGCCCCTCTCAAGTCCAGTCTGACTGCCTGGTTTCTAGAGTGATGCACACACCCAAGATGTGGGCAGGGATCCCAGAGGCCCAGTACCATTGTGGGGCAATAGGAGAAACTGTCTAGGATGCTTGTGGCTTAACCCTAGGTCGGCTGAGATGTTGCAACTCCTAGTCATCATGATGTTGCTACAGAGTCTGTGTCATCCGTGCGACCAAACATCCGGTGAATTTGGTGGAAAAAAGAGAAATCAGATGTGGGGGTGGGGGGAATATCAGTCAAATCAGTCTAACAGGTGTTCAGCATCACATGGGCTCATTGGAGAGGCTTTGATGCAAAGGTGTTGGAATAACATGATACCACGGCACGGCAACAGCGCCTTCCTGCAATGGGGTGAGGTACTGCCTTGACGTCAGGAAGGCTCCTGGCCCGGGGGTGGGGTCCCAGGCACTGGCTTAGGTTGGACAGAAGGCTGAACCTGGCAGCGAGAGGCCTAGGTGAACAGGACCATTTCAGGTGAACTGAGAGAAAACTCGGCCCTGTTTGGGGTTATTTGCTGCTACCAAGAAGCCAGGGCCCAAGACCAGAGTCCAGAGGTGGAAAAGATGCCTAGGCATCTATGGCCTGAGAGCTGGCCCTCCCCGGAATGACAGGCAGAGAGGGGAGGGCAGGAGAGAGAAAGAGGAGCTGGGAGGTGGATAGGAGGTGGATAGCATCACCATGCTGGACAGCCCCCTGGGGTCCCAGCCTGGGAGTCAGCAAGCCCCTCCCTTCCTTGCCCTTCTCGGAGCTCCCGCCCTGACTCCAGCATGGCTCTGGGGCTCAGCTGCGGGCTGCTGGGGTGCTGTGGATTCTGCTGACACAGGACCCACATTTGCAAAGCCCGGGTAGTATTACCTTCCGAGGCCCACCCCTGTCCCTGGAAAACAGAAAGCCAGGGAGGTTGTGGCTGATGAGGGTACACTAACCTAAAGGAGCAGGGGGCAGGTAAGTCCAGCCCTGGGCGCCTTTCTGTGAGGTCTCCGGGACACTTCCAACCAAAAAGACTCTGAAATGAAAAAGGGGAAACATTGTATCTACAGATCAGCACTGACCCCGTAGCCAGTCCTCTAATGGGCCCAACAAGTGGGTATGAGAGGCTCCTTCCAGGGACTTTAATTCTCAGATCAAGGACTGAAAACTTGACAGAAGGGGCTTATTGGGGGCAGGTGTGCCATGTCATCGCTGGCAGGGGTGAGGGGTGGGAGCCCGGCAGCAGCCAGGAGCGGCCCTCCCTTGAGGCAGGGAGCAGTAAGAAGCAGTGGGAAGGGGTGGGGGCAGCAACTAGCACGTGGGCAAAAGGAAACAGCCTTCCTGCTGTAGGCTCTCCTTCTCCTTCCGCAGCAGAGGGTGTCAGGAGGGAGGAAGGGCTTCTTTTGAGGGATCCCTGTTGCTCCCATGGCCCCTACCCTACATTTTAGGGATGCTCAGGGAAGCAGAGCCAGAAGGTGGCCTGGCACGCTGCTGAGGGCGGGAAGGAGACCAACGCTCCAGGTGAGATTGCAGAGGAGCCTCAGGGGACCTGGAAATGGTGTGGGCTGGGACGCAGCCCAGGGCCTGGCCTCTTGTGCTGGCGTCAAAGAAAGGCGTCTGGGATCTCCCGTCTGCAGAGACTGGGTGTAGGCGGAGCAGATGCCGCAGGGGTTAAATACAGCAACGCACTGCTTTTAAACAGGATGTTTTCTGCCACTTTTAGCTCTTCCCCAGACGTGCTCAACACCCCAGGCCTCAGCGAAGGCTGAAGGTGGGCTGACTCTGGTGCCCAGACTCGAGGTCTTAGTTGCATGATGGGTCACCAAGAATTTCACCCTCCCCACTTCTACCCACACCCAGCCCTGCTTGTCTACCCATAGAGACAGACACACACACACCCCCACCCATACACACACTTCCTTCCTCCCTTCACTGACACCTACAGGGGGTGGCTGGGGAGATAATAGATGTGCAGGTACCTGACCCCGAGCCCTAGCAAAGGCCTTTAAGCCAAACCACAGATGGGGAAGGTCCAGATCCCCAGCCTTTGTTTCTCTGCCCCTTAGTGCCTTTACTAGGCAGGGAAGGGGACAGCCCGATGGGCTTCCAAGACCTGGGCCAATCTTAGGACTGCCAGCCCACTGAGCCCATTTGCCACCCCCTCGGGCACTGGCAGCCCCCAAGAAACAGCCGAGGAAAACACCGGTGGATGGTGAGCTGAGGCAATCTGAACTAGGCTGGTCCCCTCCCCAGGACCGTGGTCGGAGGAGGCGTACCTGCTGGAGACAGACACATTGCCACTTACCCCCAAGCCAGGCTCGCCTTTGCTCCCTCTGCTTGTACTGCCCAAGGCCCCCAGCTGACCAGGCTCTTCTGGATTCTACCCCATGGCCTTGTCAATTTCCCAGGCTCCCTGCTTGTTCCTCAGGAAGACTGAGGCGAGGACCAAGTGGGTACAGAAAGGACCACTGCTTTTGTGTCCTCAACCCCTAAGATTTTCAGAAGTCAGATTTGAGACCCAGGTGGACCACCACCCTTGAGTTTAAAAAAAAGGTGCATGGAGTATCGACTATGTACAACCTGCTGAGCTCTACACACAGGATCATACGTAAGCCTCATAACAGTTCTGTGAGGTGAGGAACGGTCCTGCTCTATAGATGGCAAGACCAAGGTCCAGAGCACTTTGAGTGACTTGGCCAGGGTCCCACGGCAGGGGCGGGGACCTGCCCTGCCAGGACAGGTTGTCTGCAATGCCCAAGTGCTTCCCTTGCCTCCTGACTCCTCCCTTTCTGGTGATAACCATCAGCACAGACACTAGTGCTCTGTGCTGGGCCCTGCTCCAAGTTCTTCCCTACGCTCATTCGTTTAATCCTCACAACAACCTCGCAGGCAGGTACTGCTATTATCGCTATTATCTGTATTCTAGGCATGGGGAAACCGAGGCACAGAGAAGTTGACTGTCTTTGGGGCCTAGATTTAAACTGAGGCAGCTTAGAGGCTCTGCTCTGCTGCCTCTCCTAAGGGATATATCTCAGTCATTTCCCCAACCCTAAGGCCTGGACGCCCTTCACTTCCACTAAGTCAGGGAGAAAACCATCCCCAGGTCAGAAGAACATCGTGGCGCTTTTCCTTCCAAGGATCCCAGGATCAAGGGATGGCAGGCCTCAGCCAGGATCCCCTTTCTGCCAGCCAGCCCCTCCTATCCGGGAAAACCCCATTCACCAGGCAGGCCTCCCCTCCCCACGCAATTGTGCACTACGAGACGGTCCTTTTAGGAGAGATTATGCTAGATTTAGCCTCTAGGTCCAAGTGCATGGAAAGTGGGGCAAAGACACAGGGTAAAAAAAGGACAAATGGAACAAAAAGATTAATACCACCCCCCTTTGCCACGTCATACAACCCCCCACCCCACTCCCAATTCATGTTCTGAATACATAGAACATCCCACTGCTTTTGCTGGGGCTGTCCCCAGAGCAACCCCCTCCTACCCCTGCTTTAGAAAAACCCAAACCCCTAGCACTGAGCCTCGGAAAAGCAGTGGGGAGGAGCTCAGCTCTGCAGAAAGCCCCTGGCTTCCATTCCTCCGGGGTCTGCATCCCACATCAAAACCCCTGGCAGAGCCTGACCTCAGTCCTGACCTTGCCTTAGCAAGAAATGAGATAACGTGTTTCCTTCCAGTCATTGAAGCCACAAGCACTGTCTCTTCTACACATCTGCCAGACAACTCACATAACAATCATGCCATCTTCCAGTGCTTCTGCGAAATGGGCATCCCCGGGGAAGAGTCTCGCCTAGGACAGTCTCGGGGGGTGGTGCCTGTGGGGGGTCCTGGGCAGAGCCCTGGCAAGACAAGGATCAGTGTGCTGCTGGGCTCAGTTTAACTCCATCACATTCCCTGGACCCTCCTTGGAGTCCCGAGGGCGGTAAAGCTGTGACTCAGAGGAGTGGGGTAGACAAGAGGTCTGACCTTAGGGTCTTTTCCAGCTCTGAAAGTACACAACTCCAAGGCCAGAATCCCCATCGTGGTGAGGCCTTAAGACCATTTCACTGAGCTTTCTTCCTGACCCCTCAGTAACCAGATGAGCCCCAACATACAGCTGGCGCAGGTGAGGCCCACTCACCCCAGATGCTAAGGAGCGGGAAGGGGATGAGTGACGTGGCCCTAATGGGCCCCAGGGAGAATGGGAGCCCAGGATAGGGGGCCTCGCTCAGCCAGGTTGGGACTGGAGTGACCAAAACTGGGTTTTCTAATTGTTGACATTGGCTCAAAGCTCCTCCTCCCTCTAGAAAGAAATAGAAAGCCAAGTGATTTCCCAGAAGAGAAGGAGAAAATTCTTCTTCCTAAAATTGGCACACACAGAGTCAACCACATGTGGGCCCTCTCTGGAGCAGATAGGCGCGTGTGCACGCCAGCTACAACTGCATATGTGCTTGTGTATGCACACCTTTTTCTTGCTGTTTCTCATTTCATCATCCTTTCGACTTTGCGCATAGAGTACTGAACACTGGATGACCTATGTGACTTTTTATTTGTCATCTCTTTATTCTAGTGTAACTCAGACACAGCAATATCATGGGCAGCTAAGGTGAGTCCCTCTCTTCCTTCTCCACCATCCCCAATGTATACCCACATTCTTTTTCCAGATCAGTCTCAGCATTACCTCCCAGAAGAAGCTGAGGGGGAATAGAACAAAAAAGAAGGAAAGGGGAGAGGAAAGTGCACTGTATAAATAGAACTTGTCCAAACTACCTCTTGCCCCCATTGTCTCCCCAGCTCCTACACACAAACATATTTTAAATATGGGTGAGAATGGATGGAGATTATTTTGTGTAGACTACAATGTCCAAAGTCAAACCAATAGATACCAGTCATCTCAGAATATCTCAAGATTGGAAGGAAACTTACCACCACCTAGTCCAATCATCTTAAATCCCTCCTATAATATTCTAGCAAGTTTTCTAGCCTGTCCTTGAATATTTTTCTTGATGGGGTATGATCTTTCATGGCAATCCGTTTTCTTTGGATGGCTCTACGCTTAGAAAGTTCTTCATTATGCACAGATGAAGTAGTCCCTGTAGCTTTCCATCACTGGTGTTAGACCAGCTCTTTGCAGCCATCTAAGATGAACCTAAGATAAATCTACTAGGCCATTCCCACAGGGTCTCTGGAGGAGAGATTGGCGGGGCCACACCATGGAGCCAATATGCAAATTAGAAAAAGGGGGCCATTCCTCATCTGCCAGAAAATTGTCATAAAAAATATAAAAATCTACAATGTCTATGATGTGAATGAGATTGCAGGGGAAAAGCAGAAGAAGCTTAGCCTGGGCGACATTTGATTTTCATTTATACCTGGTAAATTTGCCAGGAATTATCATGATTCCCACAAAGGCAGTAAGTTAGGTGGTGAGTGCAGACAGCGTCTGCCTCCATGGCCTTCACCTGGAAAGAGCAGTTTCCCGCCCATGAAAAGGGCTCCGTGGAAGAGTGTTGAGTGGCTGTATGAGCTCCATCAGCCCTGCCTGCCTCCGCTGTCTTGAGCTCAGTTGTTTCCAGGCGAGGCTGGCTCCCAGCACCGCAACTCTAAGAACACCATGAGGTGTATCCAACTTTTTAATGACTGACTGAACCATGGGAAATTAAGTGGTGGATGACCCAACAATTGCAGGAAGGCGTTTACCCCAGAAGGTGCTTCTTAATTAACCCTTTGGGGACTAGACATCACCTTTGAGAACCTGATAAAGGTGATGGACTGACACCCCATACAATGTCAAAGTTAGCAGGTCACTCCATAGAAACCAGGCTACAAACTTGCACTCTACTGGCCATTCACCAAGACTCTTTCTTGGCTGACTGTCACTCTCGGGAGCACTAGCAGCTTCTTGGAGCTGAGCAGAACCCAGAGGCAGGAACCCATGAGGCCACAGGCAGTGGGGGCAGGAGATACATAACTTAGATATATTTCCACTTCTTATCAACAACAGTTATTCCTGCAAGCTGCTTTTTTCCAGTGGAAACTCTGCCCTTAGCTTTGTC